ATCCCCAAACAAGGCGACATACCAAGCCACATACAGTCGAAGACAAGACTAGACCAATCCCAACTACAAGCCCTCCAGCGCATGATAACAAAGAACCTCGCCATCGTCCAAGGCCCACCCGGAACAGGCAAGACGCACACGTCCATGGCGGCGCTCAAAGTCCTGCTAAGCACGCAGCACTCTAATGTGCCCATCATCGTCACGGCCCAGAAGAATGACACCGTCGACGAGCTCCTCGTCAGATGCCACAACCTTGGCGTGGACTTTGTACGCCTCGGCGGCCAGGCCAAGGACGAGGTCGTTGCCAGCCGGACTCTCTTCAACCTCCGCACGCGATCTCGCGGCAAGACGTGGAGCAAGAGCGCGCTCGAGAAACGTCTCGTCTCCCTCAGATTTCAGGCGAAGCTTCTACTCCAGCGCTGTTTCCCCCCCGCACACCAGGAGCTGATTCTACCGGAACACTTCCGCGAGGTTGGTCTGATCAGCGCGGAGCAGTATGCCTCCGTCACGAAGTGCTGGGACGGCGACGTCAGATCCATCGCCCGGGAGGGATCCCAACACTTGCTCGGATCGTGGCTCGGTGACCAGTTGCTCACCCAATTGCCTCATAGGAGCGTTCACGTTCCTCTCAGCGACGGCATCGACAATGACGAAGCAGCATCAGGGCCCGCGATCAGCGAGAAGGGTTCAGCCGATAACAAGAAAGAGCAGTTGTCGGGCAAGCCTATCTTGATCGCGCGCTGGAATAGCATCAAATACTCGAAAGGTGTTGCTCTCAACCACAAGATAGCGCAAGAGCTGCTCGTCAAAAATGGAAACCTCTGGTCAATTTTGCCCAAGTATCGCGGCATGGTCTATTACTACCTCGAACGTAGATACCTCGCATCAACCAAGCTAGCCCTGTCCGCAATCTTCAGGCAGCTCGACAACATAGTCAAGAAGCTCAAGGTCGCCCGCTGGCAAGAAGACACCACCGCAGTCCGCGAGTCAAAGGCCCGCATCATAGGCTGTACGACAACAGGCCTTACAAAGTACCGCAGACTCATCGCCGCGCTACGGCCGCGCGTCATGATGATCGAAGAAGCCGCCGAGACCCGCGAAGCAAACATCACCGCCGCGCTGTTCCCCTCCCTGGAGCGAATCATCCTCGTCGGCGACCACATGCAGCTAGCGCCCCACGCCGACTGCCTCGAGCTTAGCAAGCCCCCATTCTACCTCAACGTATCTCTGTTCCAGAGGCTCGTGGAGCGCGGCCTGGAGCATTCTACCCTTCAGGTGCAGAGACGCATGGCGCCCGACATTCGCAAGCTGCTGAACGCATGGTATCCTCTCCTGGTGGATCACCCTTCGACGTTTGACCGGGAAGCTGTCCCGGGCATGGGCTTGCAGAGCGTGCTGTGGTTCAATCACCAACGGCCCGAGTCATCTGACCGGTACTGCAGCAAGGTCAACACGTTCGAGGCCGACATGATTGTCGGGCTATACGGCCACCTAGTGTCCAACGGCACGAGCCCGTCAGAAATCACCATCCTGACCTTCTACAGCGGACAAAAGGCATGTATCGAACATAGACTCCGCCAAACCCCCGGCGCCGATCACCTCGGGCCCGAGGTCCAGACAGTGGATGGGTACCAGGGCAGGGAGAACCGCATCATCCTCATCTCCATCACCCGAAGCCCGGAAGATCGCACGAAACCAGACTCGGGCTTCCTCAACGACCTAAGACGCGCCATAGTCGCCCTCAGCCGCCCTCGACACCTGCTAGTCATCCTTGGCGATATGCAGAATCTGCTAGCGTCGTCAGCTCGGCCAATTTGGAGCGAGGTCTTGAACAGGATGGAGGCATCGCCCACGGACTACATCCCCGTCTTCTGCAAAGCGCACAAGAGTGAGATTCGCATCCGGCAGCCGGGTGATTGGGCAAAACTTGCGGGTAAAGGAGGCTGTAGCATGCGCTGCGGGCGACCAACGGCTGCACAAGGAGCAACATGCGGCCGAAAGTGCCATGGGTATGTTGGCCCCAAGCCTTTTGACAAAGAATGCTAACTGAATCTGGTATCAAGAGGCTCATGTAAGCCCACGGTCGGTGCCATGTTTACTGACAGCAACGCGCGGACGATCCTCGAGCGCATCTCGAGCCCACAGGCACAGGAAGATCTTATAGACCTGAGCGACTGACTTCTGAGGTGGCGGGCTGGAAGGACGCCTCGGGGCACGACATTGAAGTGTGGGAGAACGGGCGCAGGATTCACACTGCACACGGCGAACAACGCTGGCTGAAAACCGACGCACGTAAGAGCACGGCGAGGCCACATGGGCAGATCACAGGCCCAGGCAGTAGCTAGCTAAGCTTGGAGTACGAGGAGAGCACAACCTAATAGATTCCGATGATCTAGCCCAGGGTCTTGCAACGTACACGGAACTACATCAAAGTTGAAGACGATTGAGCATGGCCGAGTAACTCATCCATTGTTAGACATCACTAGCCAGGTCAACGCGGAACCGTCTCCGTGGACACGGCTCAACCAGCTAGTCTTCCCTCCCTAGACCATGCTCGCCATCGAAGCATCAAGCCGACGTTGGAAACTGCCAGGACTCAACCTAACATCATAACGCAACGTTTCGCAGCCCAATTAACCAATCATTCGGTTACAAAAGACTTCTGTGAAGAGAGTGGCCGAACCCTCAGACGTTTAGGTTAGGTTGTTTCCAGAAATGTTTCCCGAAACGTTTCCCATCCGTCTTATCGATAGCTTATCGTGCATTGCGAGATGAATAGAAGTGACCTTCAGCCTGAGGCCATGAGGCCCCCTTTCTTTCGACTCCAGTACCACGGTAATAAGTTGCGAAGTGACGGACACACTTACTACGTACATTTACCTGCACCCCCCCCCTCCTTATCTGAACAGATCCGCCCACACAGCACGAGGCGTCCGGGATGGTAGGGGCCACACCCGCTGCGGGCTACCGGAAGGCGGAAGCGAAAATTTTCTTGCGTTGGCGCGAAGCGGAAATGGAAGCAGTTCACGACAGAAGAATCGCTTCTTTTTCTTTCTGAGACGGCTTTGCTAGGGTGCTAGGCACTTCTAGTCAGATGGCGTCGAGTTGGTTTGAGTTGAGGTCAGTGTGCATTTTCTACATGATTCTCACTGCACGACATATCTTTCTCACTTTTCCTCATGTCGTGGTCTCGAGCTTTCATGAGATCAAAATGCGGCAGGTACCTCGTCTCTCACCATTTCTGTCAAGGATCTAGCCCACGAGAGAACCTCGAGATGAAAGTCAAGCCAGGTGTCGTCGTCATTGACCTTCCTCGACCCGAGCGTAGTCAATTGCGCCGTCTGAGTGGTCAATGCCATTGCTTATCCCATCATTCCCGTCCTGTAACGACGGTCAGAGGAGGTGAGTGAGTGTGCTCGTGAACCATCTATAATTTTGCACGCCATTCGTTGTCCCAGGCGGATTTGAATGCTCATCGCGGGGAGATTTGGGTGGCGTTCATCCTTCAATAGAGGATGCGAGCGAGAGTGAGTTGGGACGAACTTGGGTCGGCCACCTCGTCTACAAAACAAGAAGACGGCAGTCGACTGCTATGGAGCATTCTCGACAACAAGATTGGCAAGGCGAGAAAGCTCGATAAGCCGGATCGCCCTCACCAGACATTCCATTGGGGAAAAAGGTGTGAGGATAGGTGAATAGCCCCCAGTGCCGCCAAATGAGCAAGATGAGCGATGCTGCGGGGATGAGAAGTGCCTCAGGCAATTGAGGCATAGAGATACGAACCCGTTGACCGTCACACTCACCCACCCCCCGAGCCCTCGGCACTGCTGGGGGCCAGCCAAGGCTCCCTTCCGCCCAACCGCCGTGCCGCCCTAGCATGACGGTGCAGCAACTGACACCTGCGCTGGCTCGATCCGAACGTTCAATCCCCCCCCCCCCCACCCCCGCGTCGATCAACGAACCTGGGCTCCGCTGAAGAGCCGTAGTCTTGACACGCCCCTCCAAAGAGGGAAGGGAAAACGGGTAAGAAAACAACTTTGTTACATGTCCATCTCATAGGGCTGAGCTAGGATCCCCAACAACCTCTTGCCAGCACCATCGCAACTTCACAGGCTGCAATTGTCACAGGATTGATATTACTGTTGTCTTCTTTTTCCACATAATATATTGTATAAGTTTGTCATACTCAATTTACCATAGATTGCCCGACAACCCTGGTGGGTGGCTATTGACGGTTACCACATAGTAAAAATACATGACAAGATATCATGTCCCGATTGATCCGAGACCGTCCATTCCTCCTAAGAGAAATAGTTGCCATACCGCAACTATGTTCCACCCGAAAACAACACAGTCGTAGCCGATCTTCAGGCTATCCCAGCGATTCAGCCACGTGCTGATACAGTAGCCGCGAATAAAATCTGCCCTGACCCAAAACCAATTGACCTTGAACCAAATCTGATGGAAAGGGGGTATGATGACCAAGCCCAAATGCAAAACCAAAGAAAGGAAATTGTGATGGAGTGGGGTGACAAGACTGGGGTGATCAGATTTCTGTCGCACTCCGGGTATCATGGTAGTTATCCCTAATGCTCTGATGTAGTAAATGGCTGTGTCCGTGATGTGATGCCGCATGTGTGATGAAACAGACCCAAAATATCAAGACCTAAGGAAACCTGAATTCCGCTCTCGCTGAACGAAAGAAAAGTGAAGGACCATGTCCCACGATACTGGAAGTAGGAAATCCGGATTTGGGAACCAATCCAAACCTAAATCGCTGTATGCAAAGCAATGCCCCTAAAAGGAAAAAATAACGAGGGGATAACTTGAGTTGTTCTCATGTGTCGTATGTCGTAAGTCTATTCAAGTCATCGTAAGAATGGCGTCGTGGCAATAGTTTCGAAACGTGACGATGGTAAGTATAGGTATACCAGGGTCAAACACCATGCTTCATGCCAGATGATGCATGGTTCTGAAGAACAAGTTGCTTGGAGAAATGTTCAGAGAAATTTGGCGGTCCATTTGAGGTCAAGCCAGCCGACCTTGTCGAAAGCTGTCCAAAGCTTGGAAGCTTTGTTGACATCAATCTTACAGGCCTGCTGAGCGTCCGTCTTGCGGAACTCTTTGCTAACCTTGGCACACTCGACCCGACGGACGAAAATGCGTCGCTTGCTTGTAAGATAGGTAGCGCAGTCGAGTCGAAGGTTTGCAGCAAGGCTAACCTCGTCAGGGTGAAGCAAGTGAACGTTGGCGTCGTCGCTGAGATCGATGGGGGCGCCTTTCCAGTCTACCTTCAAGCAGTTGGGCTTGTCCGGCAGCGAAGAAGTCGGGGGGCAAAAATCGGGAAGGGCAGCAAAGTCGCGGTCTTCTCTGTTCGGTGCCACGATACGACGAGCAGGGTCCGGAGTCGAACTGACGCGGCGAGCATGGCGAGTCGGGGGGCTGTTGCGGATGGGCCGAGGAGCTTGAGCCTTGACAACACGTTCAGGCTTAGGGTTTGAGGATAACGAAATCCTAGGCTTGCTGACTGCTGGCTTGGAGGCCTTGACGGGTGTGGACTTGGCTGGGGCGATAGTCTGATATCGCACGACGCTATTCCAACGGGCGTGGTTCAGCTTCCGGTCGGCTCTAACCTGGTCCCTCTCCTTCTCGTACCAAGACTTCCTCTTGTTCGCAAAGAGTCTCATGACCTGCGACTTGAGTTGCAGAGCTAATTCGTAGTCTTCTCTGAGAGGAGGCGAGCCCTCGCGGAATAGGCCAGGAGGTCGCGTAACAATGTGTTCGTCGACAAGGCGTCTGTGTTCGATGGATTCGGTGCTGGGAAAGAGAGGCGGCTGTGTCGGACTGGAAGCCGCATCCTCACGAGGGTATAAGATCGGATCCTTTGCAGGAGTTCCAGGAATGGCTATGTTGCTGGACTCTGTGATGTAAGGCGAGACTGGAGGCGACATGGGCATGTGGGGCTTGGATGATTCGTTGGCGCCCGATGCAGTCTGTACCGTGTTTTGCTGACCTTGGCTGAAGCTGTCATATGGAACCGGCTCTGGAGGAGACATTAGATTGCTAATGTCGAAAGCCCTCTTCGGCTCTCTAGCCATCGTTGTCGCTTGATGCGGCGTCATGTGGTAGTTGGGCTCCATTGCTTGTGAGATTGAGGTCAGTGGAGATGGCTGCATCCTAGAGAACTTGAAAGGGATTTGTGAAGTGTGGGTTGAGTCCAAGGTTCTTGTAGGTTGCGGAGCGGCGGTATGGTTGGGTTTGTCAGCCATCTTATATGTTGTTGTTGGTGGCGAGGCGGAGTATGGAGATATCGGAGTTGGGGTATTTCGGGTGTAAGGGAAGCCGGTGGACAGCGGAAGAACAATTGCGTGTTCAGGGCTGAAGAGGGGACTGAAAAAGCAACTTTTTTGCTCTTAAGCGTCTGACTGCCTTTGAACGAGATTTGATTGACCAGCAGGTGGTTGATTGTGTTAGGAGGAGCGAGGGCCGTCAGTGGGGGATTTGTGACCCAATTGATGATGACGTTCGCTGCGGGTAGCTTGTTTGAGTGTCGCTTTACTGCGGTCGGGTGCTGACGCAGCCGTGCTGAGGATGGTGGACAGTGGGAGTAATGCGATGGACCTTTTCCTTGTGCGCTCGATGACAAGCACAAGCCTCCATTAACTTGAATTGAATCAAGAGTAGACAGACGTGTGCGTCAGTGTCAAACGAGCAGTGAGAGGGCACCGACTGGATAAATACTGCTATTTAGGGCGGGGCGAGGCGCCAGAAGCGAGTTGATATCTGTGTGGAGGGGCGGGTTGGTGGCGGTATGTACCAACTGAGAGGTTCGAGTACGGTAGTGGCGATGGGCGCTGGGCAGAGGAACCGCACAGTTTCGAGAGCTTGATATGTCGATGTTTGACACGGTAGATGGGGAGAAGTGGTAGAAAAGAAGAAGAGAGAAGGAAGCGCAAAGCGTGGCTCGGAGGGCAGCGAGAAGAATAATAAGGACTGATCTAAGGCGAAGCCTGGCGCAGAGTGGATGATGGATGACTGAAGGAGGTGAGGGCGAGTGAGTGCCAGGTCAGGTTGGGCAGGAGGATGAGGAGTAGAAGGAGGAGTAGGGTGAGGGGAGTAGACTGGGTTAGGTAGGCACGTAGGGTGAAGAAGATGGAGACGGAGGGCGTGCAGGGTGTCACAGTCCACAGTGGGTGTAAGTAGCGACGAATACGGTACCAGGCAGGACCTTCGGGAAGATAGAAGGCGGGATACGGTCGGGGGAACTTTCCAGGCACGAACGATGGCTGGAGTCCTTGCTGGACATGGAACATTCAGGTAAGAGGACGGGTCACAATTGAACAGCACAGGACGGGGTTGTTGGAACAGACATGGCCGAAACAGAGAAACAGAGGTCCTGATGACCCAGCCATGTCTACTTACCATCTTATCTTACACTGTCTACTTGCCCGTGAATACCGTAAGGCATGTAGACCAGAGCTGGAGTGACAAGAGACGGGATAGAGAGAAAGTAAGAGGAAAGTCCGGGGGGGCAGGAAGGACGAGAATGCGAATGTGGAAAGTGGTTCCCTTTCCCTTCCCTCTTTCTGCTTTACAGTACACAGTACCTTAAGTGGGTGTTTGGGGTCTTCAGGTTGTTCTGACTGAGGTGGGAAAGAGGAAGAGTCATCCATCGAGGTGATAACCGCACACCCCTTATGTCCTGCCGACCTAACTCTCTTCCTCTTCCCCTGCACCCGCTCCTTGTCTGAATCATCTGTGTAAACCCACCCCTCCCCCCAATCGAGCTCAATTGCACGCCCTCTATTTGCGTGACTGCTGTGTTGCCTTGCGGGCTTACCCAGTAAGACCGAGCCACACCTCACCACTCAATTGCCTGGCATTGCCCTCTGATGTGATTTGTTCAAGGCAGAAGTCGACGAAGCCCCCAGAAGTGAGCATGAGTTGTTGATGTTGTCGGAACTGTTGTTTTGGTTATTGTTATGATTATTATTGTGATGGTGGTTGATGTCGTCGTCGTTGTCGTCGTCGCTGTACCTGGTCTCTCCATGTCGCAGAGGACCTTGCTTCTCCTCCTAGCTTCTTCATGCGCTACCAAGCCTAAGGGAATTATACATGCGGAGGGTGTGTGCTTAATTATCGCGATGACATTCCACGCTTTACCTGCAGAGTCTACGGATACCTGGGCTTGGAAAGCACAAAGAAATCTGAAAAGAGAAGGAAGGGGGTTTGTGTCACAGTGGCTTTGGGCATTAAACACTTAAACATCCCAGCACTCCATGTACCTCATCCTCAGAAGTTACATGCTTCCATAATCGATACCTCCCCGCTCTCTTCTGCATACCTCATCCTCTGCCTTTGTGCCTCTAAGCGCCAGGTTTCCAAGTACGCAAGTGCACTGCTGAGAACCTTGCCTCGATCCAATGGATTCTCAGGTTCCGCAATCACAAAGGCTGCGTAAAGCCAGGTCGTCCATGCACTCGTCCTACCTAAGGTAGGCAATCTTCAGCCATGGAAGGTCAGGTACCTAAAGTAGTTAACGTAGTGGGTAGGTAGGCAGCCAGCCTCTGCCCTACCGTCGTGCCCCTCCCCCGCTGCCCCTCCATTCAAATGTTTGGGAGGAACTGGCCACGGGAAGGAAACCAGCGACAAATCCGATCGGACGATGAAGCGTTTTGCTTCCATTCTTCGACAGACTTTAACTAACCCGACACAATTCGCTGCAATTGCAAGAGGGGAGAAGGATTGGAATAGACCTGCTTGCTTTGACAACGCCAATGCTAGCGGGACGAACGGGCGGTAGAACCATTGACTTTGACAATGCCTCTCAATTGAGTCTCGCAGGGATCAACTACCTAGGTAGGTGATCTTTGCTCCATCTCTCCACTCTCCCTCTCCCCCCCTCTACTACGTACCTCCTCTGTGCCTCACGGTGAGATGGACTAGGTACGGAGGTACTTGGTGGTGACGGTGTGCCTCGCGGCAACGAGCGACGGAACCGCCTCCGTTCCCTCTGTCTCTCTCCCCCCTCACCTGATGCCACCACAAACACCGCTTCTGGCATCATGTCAATGGCCCCGTCATGGCGTTTGAGAAGTTGGAAACCAACCCTCTTTTACCTCCGTGCCATGCGTGCCTCTTCTCCGCCCAGGAAACCACGAACGAACGGTCAAGTCTCTAGGGGACGGACACGACCATGGGCACGACGGGCTCGAAAACGAACCTACGAACGGTGCATCTGACGGCACGTAGCAGAGGTGTGTGTCAAGCGAGGTGGGCGGGTGACAACCTGTCTCTGATACTTGGGTCTCGAATCCGAGTCACTTGCTCGCCGCCAGACGCCCAATCAGCCTCAGCTTTTAGCTTCCAACGGGCTCTGGGCCACGCCCCCCAAAGTCCTCACACAGGCTCACTCACTCACTCAAAGGCTAGGTAGAGTTGAATCCCCATCCGGCCCGGCCCAATCAACTCCGCTCTGGCTGCCGCACTGCGCATGTATCTCTGCTGCCGTACCTGATCGATACCCAAGACTGGGGCCATGCAATGAGGAACAGCCCGAACCAGGCGGTTGCCTACTCCATTTCACATGAACGGTTTGCTGCTGTGTACAGGGAATCAAGAAATCGTTTCATGTCTCACTTACTTTGTCGTCAAAAGGTACCTAGAATAGGCAGGCAAGTATAGAGTCAGGCTGGCTAACAGTCGATATTGGCGGTGCCATTGACGATAGTTGAAGGAGGGGCGGGCTGCCTTGTTCTCGTTGAGAAGATGGGATGGCACAGGAAACGTACCAAAGTACCGCCAGCCAAGCAGCAGCGCCGTTAAGCTTTCGGCTGCAGTGGTCAGCCTCGAGGCAATCCTGCCAGTGCCCTGTCTCATCACCTTGTTTATTACATGGTAATTATGTATAAGCCGAGCTAACCTCGACTACTGCTAGTAGATTGACCGATCTGGGTGATGAATTGAGTTGAGGTATGGGTCTTTCTTCCGACACTCGTCCGAACTGATGCTATGAGTTGCTTGGAACTAAGACTACCGCAGTAGCAACAGCCAACAGGTCCATCTTAGCAAAGAGGCGTGAGTGTGATTGCGACAACTATGGGCAATTGGCATGGCTTTTTGGAGCCTGGCCATGCAACCTTGCCAAGGCCTAGCAAATCCGATGAGGGGCAGAATCCAGAAAGACCCAAACAAACGCACAAAGCGATGGAGTAATATATACACTACAGCAAGTACAGCGCAGGGGGTTGCCTGGCACGAATCTTGACGCAAGGTGCCTTGCTTTACCACAGCGCATTGGATTGGTTCATGGTGGTGCACATTGGCCTCAGAACCGTGGAGCGAGAAAAATATACACTGCTTGCGGTATCCGTACTATCATGGCAGAAGTGGAGAGAGTCCAAGGGCCAAGGCTACCTTGGTTGCTGCTGGTGAAGTTTTGCTTGGAAAGCATTGTCGCATTCGATGCGCCGCCACACGTTGTAACTCCAGATTGGCCTGGCACGCCTACTATGTAGACAGACTGAATATGACAGGGAATTGGCAGGCATGGAACGCAAGGCATTGTGCAGAAACGACGGGCAATCTTACGGTATGTGATGCAGCAGCCGTGTTGTTAGCCGCAGGCAAGGGAAGGCAAGGGGGCCATTTGTCGGCGAATTCAATTCGACCATGTCAACAAAGTCGGGCAGAATCAGGGACGAAGAGGCAGTCTATGGATGGATCAGGATCATGGAGCCGCAGAGGGCACCTCATGGAAAGGCGGGCACAGCGCAGACAGCAGACACGGCAGGCTAGGCTGGCTGCTGGCCGCTGGTCCCTTGTCGATGCTGGATGCTGGATGCTGGATGCTGGCTGGGGATCCCATCGATTCGGTCAAGACACACCTTGACATCCAAAATTTCCCTTTTGATGCCGCTGATGCCAGTCGCTGCAGGAAGCGTGGCAATCGGCAACGGGATGGCACAAGAAGGAGAGGCGTACAGGGTGTCCATGTTGGGCAGTTGCAATTGACCAATGGGTGGGCTCATTGACCGCTCAATTGCGCATCCAGAGGCTCCATTCTCCTGCCTGGAGAATGTCAATCTTGCACACTGGTTTAGCTCCGCAGACTTGAGCACTAGACGACGGGTCCAAGTCAAGTCAACATGCTAAAACACAGAAATGCAGCTCGGAAAACCGTGTGACGGAATGAATGAGTGGCACTTGAAGATCCAGCAGGAGGAGAGAGGCGGACAACAAGAGCGGAAAGTGCGGTGAGGGCGCGTAAGCCTCACAGCTACCTAAGGTAACAAGCAACAAGAAGGCCAATTGACAAGGCAATGGGCGGCCTCCCACGTGCTATTAACATTGAGTTGGCCTCAGGTGCAGGGCCGAACGAACACCAACACCAATAAGAACAAGAACAACAAGACCTGGACAACGTCTCCTGTCCAATTCAATCAAGCAACAGGACAGCCCTCGGTGCGTACCTTAGGTACTTTGGTTCCGTACAAGCAGAGACATACAGTTGTTTGCACCTGTGGCATTGTACAAAGTGAACAACCGAGAGTAAGTAGAGGCGGGGGCATCCGTTGTGGCGATGAGATGGACCTTGGGCGGGATGGCGCGGCCAGCAGCCAGAGTGACTCTTTCATGTGCGCAGAGTTACGAAATGCAGGAGTCACCAGTTGGGTTGTGTGAGTCACAGGGAAAAAGCGACTCTAAATTGAGGGATCATGGAGACTTCCATTGGACTCTGGAGTGCGTGAGTGCTTCTCGTTGGTCTTGCCGCGCCTCAAGTCGAAACACTTGACCCCTGCAACTCTTTTCGGACTAGCGTGATCGTCGTCTATCGATAAGACGTCACGACAAAGGTGGGACCTTGCTGCACCTGCGGCCTGCGGCCTAGGTACCTACCTACCTACGCCTACGAAGAGGCGCCGCCGTTACTCAGGACGGGAACCATCGATTTTTGGTACAGCTGCAACGAGTAGGTAAGTACCGCTTGGGATCGGGTACTTCTTGCCCACCGTTTGCACCTTGGCCCCTCAGATTCTGGGCATGTATGTTTCCAATGGAAAGTCCCATTTTGACCTTTTGTACACTTACAATCCAGGGAAGGTAACTAACTCCCATGAGTCCCAGGCACCGTTCCTCCCGCTCTATGACTTTCCCCTAAGTACCCAAATAATAACGTAAGACTCAAGGAGGCAAGCATCGAGTGATGCTCTAGCATCCATCGCCTTCCACGTCCTTCGATGGATTTGCGAGAATGAACGACCCGAGCAAAGAAAAGGAGCAACGACCTGGACCGAACGACCCGAGCCCGCATCTCTGGATGCCCTTCGCCAGTCGACAAGGCCCTAGTCTTTCCATTGCCAACCCCCCTGTCTTTCAAGGACTGAACAGTAGTTACGTCCAAGCCCTGCCGAAATAAGGACCTTGCATGGCAACGCACCCAGTCCGCAAGCCAAACATCTCATTCGGCAATGGACCCAGCTCAGCGCTTCCAACGCCATCTTCCACCTGCTAGGTACTCCGTACATTCCTCTTCATCATTTGCATCTCTGCCAGCCTTGATTCAGCCCGCGAACGCTCGTCAGCAAACATCTGCCATACCTGAGAACAGGAGCAATAGACTGAGTTGACTCAATTACATTTTTAAGAAATGGCGAGCGGGTGAAACGCCGACTTCACAATGATAGAGCATACCTAAAGCTCACGACACGAGCATGATGGACACTCAGCACCCTTGTACTGCATAGCAGAAGAAGTATTCGAGCCATCCCCTTGGATTGGAAAGCTGCGAGTGCAGACTTCTGGAAACCCCAACGCTGCAACGGGGCAAGGTCTAAATCCTCCGACGCCCCGAGCTTCCCGGAAGGACGAGCTGTGGCGTCGCCATGCAATAGATTGAGAGTTCAGCGATGACTGTGGCAGCAATGAGATAGGTACAGCAGCTGTACGTAGAGTCAAAAATACATTTGTCAGTGACATCTCATTTGCTGCCGCCCAGAACGCTCCGACGTCCTGGAACAGAATACGACGTAAGGTCTCGCACCTGCGGCCCGCAAGCAAGACAAGAGACCGACAGGCGAGTCTGAAGATGGAAGGTATCGGGACACCGAACTTTAGGATCAAATCGGTAAGCAATGTGCAACTGAGTCGCTGTCGAGGCGAGTCTTGGAGATGACCGTCTCTCGTCTTAGGTCTAGGAAGCCTTGACATATCATTTGTCACAAGGACATTGGACCATACCTAAAGTTTCTCTTTTTGCTTGCAGCAACGGCTTGGTCGATAAGTTGCGGAAGAAACGGCGGGAAAACAGAAGCACTCCTCGCCAATGACCACAGCTCTCTCGGCAGCATTCGGACGCGCAATCGACGCTGGCTGCCTGCTTTGAATCCGAGGCGCGGTTCTCGCGGATAGCAAAGGCAACGAGACATTTCGAGTTTGACTAGCCGGGCCGCTTTGAAATCTTGAGAAAGCCCAGATCATCGCCCCAGATGGCCCCCCCCGATCAGAGGGGCTCCAAAAGACCCGAAGGACCCCCCAACTGGCCAAAGGCGCACTGTGTCCAAAGGTCTAATTCAGGCGAGTTGGAGCATCAACGGAAACTTATCGATAGCGGGAACGGGCGCTATCAGTAGCAGCCGCCGTGCAGCACCACATCACCAGGCCCTCGGGTGGTCGGTGGTGGTTTGGTTCATCCTCGTTGTCAGCTGGCGACCACAACCTCTACCTCTGCTCGCTATGGTTGTCTACCAACCTGAGATGGTGTCAATGATGCGCTCGACGACCACACCCTTGCCAACCAAGACTGCGGCCACATGACTACCCCCCAAGCCCCCTCCTTGCCACCAACCGACCGACTACGACTGCGTGGTCTCGTGGGTTGGACAAGACGCGCCGCTTGGGGGGCTTGCGGGCAGGCATAAGACGGCAGTAACGGTGCTCTCTGGCGCGGGTTCCGTCTTCTGGACCTCGACCTCCGCATCCTCGCTCGTAGCCCGTCGGCGCATTGTCGTCATGTCGTTCGTTCCCCTTGGTGGGTTTGATCGCTTCACCATTGTAGTAGCGGGATGATCACGAGGCCCGAATCTCAAGTGAGACCACCATCCCACACCTTGTCCTACTATGGACATCTTATCTCACGATAATTACTGGCGATAGTTATCGGAATAGGACTTCGCCGTAGTGTGTCCGTTGATCAATCAGGCTTCGCTCACTCTCACCCCCCCCCCCCTGTTTCCCAATTGGATCCCATCAGATGCCAAAAAAGGGTGCTCGGAATTGACCACTTCTATGTACTGGCCTCGCGCATATCTACCACACTTACCCACGAACCTTGGCGATTCTTCGCGGCACTAAATTGCGACATCAGCAATCCACTTCCCAACACCCTCCTGGCGTCTCTCAGTGAGTCGAGCGACATCGCAAGGCAAGGGATTACGGACGTCTTCTGGCCCAACTCTCCCGAGAAGAGGGGAGGGGGCGAAAGGAGGGGTAAAACGGAGATGGCGGTCAACTGGTTCGAATTGTTGGCCTAACCTGTAACTCGTTCGCATCTTCATATCGGCCGCGGGCAGTGATTTATCGACGAGACGCGCGATACGCACCGCCATGACCATATATCGCCATGATTGGTTCAACATTGTTGGCCCAGCGTCCACTTTCAATCCGTCTTTTTCCTTGCTTCTTTTCTTTTCTTCTTATTTGCCTTACCTTAGCTTGCCATTGACTGCTGGATCTAGATCTTGTCACAAGACAGCCAAGTGCGGTTGGTCAATGTCACCGACAATACCTACGTCGCCCGCCATCCGCCGCCACAAGGAGGGGGATAAGGATGAAGCGGCGGTATCGATATCCAGCCTTCCTTATCACCCCTCCTTCTTATCTTATCCCCTCCCAACCGCACCCGTATTTCTCTTACTCCTCCCACCCCCTCAGTACTCTCACATGTGAAGGTACGTGGGGCACAGAGTGCGGCATACAAAACGGCCTGCCTGATCTAGCAAGCAGGGACGTAGACCCAGTGGGTCAGCCAGGGCCCAACGGGGCCTGGATTCCTCAGCAAAAGAGCAAGACAATTCTCAGCATGTGTGCTTACTGGTAGTGGAATTTGCTTCATCATTGCCCTACTCCGTACACAAGTTGAGTGAATGAGCCGTAATTGATGAATCTGAATATGATCAGTCAATTGGCCTCGGAATTCATGTCCGAATCTATGCTGGATTCATCCTTCAAGAACATTATATCTCACAAAGCTTGTCAGGTGAAATGCGGCCAAGTCCAAACTTGAGACAAAATGTCTCGGCTGTACGAGAAATGGACCGGATTTTATCAAGGACTGTACGAGATACAGCTCGTCACATGGTGCGTCAAATGTGCCAACCCCCCCCCCCCCCGGGGGGGTGGGGGGGCACCTCAAATACCTCGACTGCCACAGTCTGTGTTAATTGAGGCAGCTACTCGAAACGTTAGCCAGGGCAGTGTGCTTGAAAGTTCTGTCCTAATTATGGCACGATGTTGCCAATGAGGTGTCATGATTCCTTCACTTTGTAGACTTTTCGACGCGGTCCTAGACATCATTGGGTACCTGAAGACATCAACGTTCTCAGAACTCAAGGTCATTTTGATGAATTTGATCAGCCCAGCCGCTGATAGCCCTGCAATTGAGATTTGAATCATGGAACATCACTTCAAAATATTCACTGGCCATGTTCGGCCCGTGCAAGTGTCTTAATGGCTCCAGCAGCAAGACAATTTTGATACCGCTTCGTTCATGATATCTGTTTCGATAACCACATGCTCAAAAAATTCATGCATGGAAGTCCTCTATGTGTGCTAGTCATATCAATACTTGCAGGAGCCATAAACCATACATGAAAAACGTTGGCGAGCCTGCTCCCACTATTCCTCCAGTTTGTCAAGCTCTCAGCAATGACGTCTGCGGTCTATCTTGCATTCCGGTCCAATATCTAATCAAGTCTATAGACGAGCGCAATGAGCACTACAACGCAGCAACGCGATATCCTCGTGACAATGCCTGAAAGTGATACTCGGCATGAACGCATTCTTAAAAAGACGGATCGATTGGTATATCCCAGCTGATCTGACCCCACAGCTTGCCTCTTCCATAACTTTTGTCTCTTCAACTTCAATATCATGTCGACGATGCTAAGGTAGGCTCCATGTCAGAAACCATGTTGTTCGTAGCTCAGACGTCCATGGATACTCGACAGCTCGACCCTCGTTTTCACAACCACGGTACCAAATCGAAAGCTCAGTCTAACGAAATGGCCAAGTCTACCAGGCTGATGGAGTCCGCCAAAAGAGATCCTCAGTAGTGGGTGCTTCGTTGATGTAGCGATCCATTAGACCTGACCGCTAAGCCTCAAGGCTTTCTTTCAGATATCCTATTGCACATGCCAGGTATGCATAGAATCTCTCACTGTTGTTTAACTTCTCGGAACAGTAGATGACACTGAGAACTTTATGCATCATGATCACCATCCAAGTCGTCGTCTAAAGTTGGGATCAAACC